AATGAATAAAAAATAAATAAATAATTATAAATGAATAATAATAATAATAATAATAATAATAATAATAATCTAGCATTTAATTACTGTGTTTGTTCTACCCCCATTAGTTCGATTCTAGAATGTAGTTTAATTGCGAGTCGGTGTTTAACTGCAGTTCTGTTCTATTCATGATAAATACTTAGATACTGTGATGTAGTTTAAATACAGGTCAGTGATTTAACTGCTGTTGTGTTCTACTCGTGAAAATTAGTAAGATATTAGGATGTAATTTAAATGCAGGTCAGCGATTTAAATGCTGTTTTGTTATACTCACGATAAATATTTTGATACTCACTAAGTATGTAGTGTAAATACAGGTCAGTGATTTAACTGCTGTTTTGTTCTATTCATGATAAATAGTTAAATATTAGGATGTAGTTTAAATACAGGTTAGTGATTTAACTGCTGTTTTGTTCTACTCTTACAATTAAAAATACCGTAAGGAACATGTTCATTCCCACATTGACAGGTCAGTGAATACCTGCTGTTGGATATCCAAATACTCCTCGTCTGACTTTGCTTACTTGCTGGCTCAATAAACAATACTTTTCGATATGTCATTTTCTCTGAAATTAGTTTTCTTCCATACTTACATGTATTACTCAATATTGTTATTTATTAACATTGCTCGGATATTATATTAATACCGGTATTTCCTCCATTATTTGACATGTAACTACATTTTAGTGATAACTGGTAATGGAATAATTAATGAAAGGTAGATTTTTGTTTTTCATTTCATTACTTTAAGATGTATGGAGAGGCCAGTGATTAACTGCCTTCCTATAGATTTGATGTGTGCAAGCTCACCTTGGATGGCACGGATGTGATTTGCATGTCACATCTTACATGGATGTGACCTGCATATCACATCTTGTGGCCTATTTTATTTTGATGTGCCATCTATTTGCTAACTTTTTAATATGATGTTTTGATTGTCTTGTCTTACAGATACTTTTTTCTAGTCAGTTTTGGGGGATCAGACATTATCATATTTTACGTAACTGATAAGCAAAGCTTGTGAATCTGATCCCCCTTCTTGTTTGTTAAATTGTTCACATTTATACCGTCATTTTAATAAATGACATTTTTCATCAACATCAAAGTGTTTTATCTGACTTTTACAAAATTAGCAAAAACAAGCTGCGGTGATCTTGCCTATAAGCATTAGAAGACATAAAACAACAATTATTAGAATAATAATTGTATTTATGTATTTAATGCGATAATTTGTTTGGAGGTTTTCGGAAACATTTACGTTGGTAAATTGTGAAAATTCTCAGATCCACGCCTTGCCTAATTGTAATGGAATGTGTAAGGTCACGTGGTCAGCTCAGCGAGTCATTCACACTCGCGCGCTCACCACCGCTAACATGAAGGTATCACACCGGTAATTGACCAATCAAAATGAACTTAGTCAAATGTAGGTCCATATATATAAAATTGATTTTCTTTTCTTTTGAGACGTTTTTCTATTTTCTTTCATGCCATTTTTACAACTTTGGTACCTGTGCCTAGTAAATTTTATGTACTTTGAGAATAAATAAAGGTTTTTGACAGGAACTATTTTTTTCATGTCATAGGAGGCTACTTCCCGTAGTGCACTCGAGGTGTTTATAAACACAGTGAAAACACGTGGATTTGAGGGTAGCCGTGTTTGCAGATGGAAAAAGTCCGAAAATGCCGTGTGGGTACCCTGTTTTTTGGTGTCAGCTAATGTGACAGGTAATGTTTAACACCTCCTGCTAAATATTTTTTCATGTAAACAAATACCCGATTTTTAACGATTTTTTATTCTATATAGAATTATATAGTGAAAACAATTACCGGTGTGATACCTTGAAGGTGATTATGAAAAATCATTTTAATCCTTATTAAAGACATTTTTCATTTTTAAAAGGCATATTTCAACAAAATATGTGATTTTATGAACTTTTTGTTTGAAAACACACAATCTTAAAATTAGAATTAGAATTTACATTTTTTTCACAGATTTCTGTGTAAAAATTAACAATAGGTTATTTTTTACACTCAAAACTTTAAAATATGACCAAAAAGGTAGCATTATTCATCTAAAATGTGGGAAAAAGTCAGAGAATATTGTTTTTTCATTTTATATGACTAAACATTATTTGCACCAGCTGACCGCAGTCAATTATTGTGTCTACAGACTTTGCGGTAAAGGGTGTTAAAGCTGATTTTTCAAAAATAGACTAATTCTAGGTTTACGAATGAATTTTCAGCACAAGCGACAACTGCGATAAAATGTAAATAAGTAAAATATGTTCTCACAGAATGATAATTTCTACAGACACATGATTTATTTTAATTTATTCACACCTCCAGTGATACATATATTACTGCATTGGAAGAATAAAAATAATGAAATGAGTCAGATCTGTCTAATAAACTTAATACATAAGCTACATAAGTAAAATTCATTAAGAATTTTTCACAGTAAGGAAGGTTATGACCAAAAATTTCTGAAATACTGTCAGGGTCTATTTCCTCCATTATTTGACATGTAACTACATTTTAGTGATAACTGGTAATGGAATAATTAATGAAAGGTAGATTTTTGTTTTTCATTTCATTACTTTAAGATGTATGGAGAGGCCAGTGATTAACTGCCTTCCTATAGATTTGATGTGTGCAAGCTCACCTTGGATGGCACGGATGTGATTTGCATGTCACATCTTACATGGATGTGACCTGCATATCACATCTTGTGGCCTATTTTATTTTGATGTGCCATCTATTTGCTAACTTTTTAATATGATGTTTTGATTGTCTTGTCTTACAGATACTTTTTTCTAGTCAGTTTTGGGGGATCAGACATTATCATATTTTACGTAACTGATAAGCAAAGCTTGTGAATCTGATCCCCCTTCTTGTTTGTTAAATTGTTCACATTTATACCGTCATTTTAATAAATGACATTTTTCATCAACATCAAAGTGTTTTATTTGACTTTTACAAAATTAGCAAAAACAAGCTGCGGTGATCTTGCCTATAAGCATTAGAAGACATAAAACAACAATTATTAGAATAACTAGATACGATCTCGTTGCGAGCAACGAGTGGGTCTTCCGTTCGATTCCTGATGAGATGAGATCAGATTTTGATTGAGATTTTCATTCTAAAGTAATGATTTTCCATATTCTGTAAAAAGACATTGAACAATAAAGACTTCTAAAATCGACTTTTGGCCCCTCACGGCCCCTAATATTAGGGATCAGCCCTTTTTTCCTTATAACATTTAAAAGCTCTCAGGATTATGAACACTTTTTGTTCAACAACTATTCAGAGATCCTTTTTCGTTTTCGAGTTATTCGGAAAAGAAATATTAAGGGACCAGCCCTTCAAATCCCTAATGGGGACGTTTAGCGAAAAAGGAAAGGTTGCATATTGTTCAGAACATGATTTTGAACATCTTTTGTTCAATATTACTTGTCAAAATATTTCTCACTTTCGAGATAAAAAGCATCAACGATTTAGCCTTCTGGCCCCTTGTAGCCCCTTATTATGTAATATAAGACATAAAAATCATAATATACAGTTGTAGATTGTTGAGATAAACATTTTTGCTTCAGTAATGTATAACAAAATATTGACTGTTAAAGATTTATCGAAAAAAGACTTTAAGCCCCTTTTGGCCCCTAATTTGAGCGTCCAGCCCCTTTTTTGGGATTTCATCTTAAAGCTCTTAGGATTTTGAACACTTTTTGTTCAACAACTATTCAGAGATCCTTTTTCGTTTTTGAGTTATTTGCAAAAGAAATATTGAGGGGCCAACCCTTCAACTCCCTAATGGGGACGTTTAGCGAAAAATGAAAGGTTGCATATTGTTCAGAACATGATTATGAACATCTTTTGTTCAATATTACTTATCAAAATATTTCTCACTCTCGAGATATAAAGCGTCAAAGATTTGGCATTCTGGCCCCTTGTGGCCCCTAATTATGTACCATACGTCATAAAAATTATAATACATAGCTGTAGATTGTTGAGATAGACATTTTTGCTTCAGTAATGTATAACAAAATATTGACTGTTAATGAGTTATCGAAAAAAGACTTTAAGCCCCTTTTGGCCCCTAATATGAGTGCCCAGCCCCTTTTTCTTGATTTCATTTTGAAGTTCTTAAGATTTTGAACACTTTTTGTTCAACAACTATTCAGAAATTCCTTTTTGTTTTCGAGTAATTTGCAAAAGAAATATTTAGGGGCCAACCCTTAAACTCCCTAATGGGGACTTTTAAAAAAAAATGAAAGGTTGCATATTGTTTAGAACATGATTTTGAACATCTTTTGTTCAATATTACTTGTCAAAATATTTCTCACTTTCGAGATATAAAGCGTCAAAGATTTAGCATTCTGGCCCCTTTTGGCCCCTAATCTTGAATTATACTACATTAAAATCATAATACACAGTGGTAGATTGTTGAAATAAACATTTTTGCTTCAGTAATGTATATCAAAATATTGATTGTTAAAGAGTTATCGAATAAACACTTTAAGCCCCTTTTGGCCCTTAATGTGATGAGTCAGCACTTTTTTCTTGTTATCATTCTAAAGATTTTGTCATTCTGCACAAATTTTGTTCAGTATGTTTTATCAAAATAATTATACTTTAAAAGGTATGATGCAAAATGTCTGAAAAAATCAGTCATGATTCGTGTCCTAAATTTTGACCCCTACCGAGCTTCCATACTAGACACTTCCGGAAAATATCCTGACCCAGGTGCAACATGGCAACATGTCCTCTATTATCACTGAAAATTTCAGCGCTCTAGCTTAAGCCGTTATTGAGTTCTATCACAGACAAGGAGGTCGTCTGAATTTTAAGAAAAGGGCGATAACTCTAGACCGGAAGTGATTTTCAAAAAATCTTTCAGCCGGAATTAACTTCAGATTGTTCTGAACCAACCCTGAAAATTTGAAACAAATCGATCCAAAGATCTCTGAGAAATCGTCGGCACAAAATTTGTGCAGAAAAAAAGAATAATAATAATAAGAAGAAGAAAATTGAAAAAGAAACATAAGAATAATAGAAGGGTCTTCCGCTGAAGACGGAAGACCCTAATAATTGTATTTATGTATTTAATGCGATAATTTGTTTGGAGGTTTTCGGAAACATTTACGTTGGTAAATTGTGAAAATTCTCAGATCCACGCCTTGCCTAATTGTAATGGAATGTGTAAGGTCACGTGGTCAGCTCAGCGAGTCATTCACACTCGCGCGCTCACCACCGCTAACATGAAGGTATCACACCGGTAATTGACCAATCAAAATGAACTTAGTCAAATGTAGGTCCATATATATAAAATTGATTTTCTTTTCTTTTGAGACGTTTTCCTATTTTCTTTCATGCCATTTTTACAACTTTGGTACCTGTGCCTAGTAAATTTTATGTACTTTGAGAATAAATAAAGGTTTTTGACAGGAACTATTTTTTTCATGTCATAGGAGGCTACTTCCCGTAGTGCACTCGAGGTGTTTATAAACACAGTGAAAACACGTGGATTTGAGGGTAGCCGTGTTTGCAGATGGAAAAAGTCCGAAAATGCCGTGTGGGTACCCTGTTTTTTGGTGTCAGCTAATGTGACAGGTAATGTTTAACACCTCCTGCTAAATATTTTTTCATGTAAACAAATACCCGATTTTTAACGATTTTTTATTCTATATAGAATTATATAGTGAAAACAATTACCGGTGTGATACCTGAAGCACGTCTATTTTGAAGACCCACCTCCACCCCAACATTCCTATCCCTTAATATGATCATTAATGTGTCATGTAAAATTTATATTATATTATAGTTTTTACTCGATTGTTTTACGCTTTCATGTATTTGGTTTTGATTATGATCTTTTTGCAAACTTTTTCTTCTGAGGTTTTGATTGTGTCTTTGATGTACCATCTTTTTGCCAACTTTTTCTTGTGATGTTTGCCTATTTTATTTTGATGTGCCATCTATTTGCTAACTTTTTAATATGATGTTTTGATTGTCTTGTCTTACAGATACTTTTTTCTAGTCAGTTTTGGGGGATCAGACATTATCATATTTTACGTAACTGATAAGCAAAGCTTGTGAATCTGATCCCCCTTCTTGTTTGTTAAATTGTTCACATTTATACCGTCATTTTAATAAATGACATTTTTCATCAACATCAAAGTGTTTTATTTGACTTTTACAAAATTAGCAAAAACAAGCTGCGGTGATCTTGCCTATAAGCATTAGAAGACATAAAACTAATTTTCACTAACCCCGGTATATTTATTTTCCTACTCCTTAACCGAGCGACCGCAACGACATTGGCACTATCATCAAGATGAGCGACCATCTCTTGAGCAACAGCAAGTAGATTTTCATTGGGTTCAAACTTAACATTCGTTGCAATAATGGTAACATTTGGGTCATCAATAGGGTTGTTTGAAAAACCACGCACGTTATTTTCGTACATAGGGGATTCCCTACTATCCCTATTCTCAACTAGTTCTAGCCGTTCAACAATAGAATCAATGGTCTTTGAAAGTACGTCGATGTGTGATTTATGAATGGACAATTCAATGTCAATGTCACTCTTCATGGCCTTGAACTTCTCATCAATACTCGCAATAAACTCGTTTTTAAACTTGTCCAATTTGCTTTTAACAATAGACTGAAGAGTTGACTGCCCTTTCCGTAATTTATCAACTGCATCGGCTATGTTAGTCATTTTCTCTACAAACTTATCATAATCCCCATCAGAAACATTAGACCTACCGGACTGGTCAGTAGTGTTCGGTGATCTGGTGGTCGCCATTTTGACCTGCTTGGGTGTCGGTTTTGGAGTTTTGCCGTCAGAAGATAGCCTACGCTTCCCCACATCAACCCCAGGTCTACTCTCTGTACTGACTGGACTCTTCGTAGAAGCTTTCCTTAACATTACAGCAAATAAACTTCGCTATTTTCCCATTTACAGTCAAATTTTCTCACTCTGGATAAACAACATGTCATTTCTACTCCAACGCATGCGCATAAATGAATCTCGGGGAAAAAAAGTCCTAAACTATTTTAATGACCCAAAGTCATAGCTGCTAGCTCGTTTTATTTATTTATTTATTTTTTTTTTTTAGACTTTTTCGAAAATCTTGTTTTGCATAAGAGTATTGAACAAGTAAAATGATTGTCGACTCATGTAACAAAATTGCAACTATGAAAATATAACACTTGTCCACAAAAAATTTCATACGTTTAGTTTGATCATGAATGTAAAAAGGTACATGTATCTGTAAATAGAAACAGGTGATTTCCTTTAAATATATACTTGAGTCTGCCGTGTCGTCGGTAAGGCAGCTATGGCTCTTTGACAAGCAATAAAAAGTAAAAGCAACTAGAGGTATGGCGATCAATGAGCTCACTAAATAATAACCCCCCCCCCCCTCCCCCACCTTTCAAGCAGGGATTATTACAAAGAACCGATGCCCCCGGTACCTGATTGTCGCAGCATACCGTACCTGCCCATGGAAAACAAAGAAAAAAAGATCCATTCGTCCAATTTATATTTTAGATAGTCGGGAAGTAAAAGTTACAATTTAATGTAGGTATAAGTGGAATTTATGTGCAAAACAGTTATAAATAAATAAAAAATAATAAGGTGTATAATCATATGATAAGTGCATACATGTGAACAGTGATTATTTAAAGGTTAAGAAATTATAGTTGTTGGAGAAAATGAAAGACACTAGCACCTTAACTCTAATGCATACATACATGTACAAATAGAGACCCTTGCATTCGTACCCAACTTTGTTAAAAACCTTTCTAAAAGATGTTTATCTATAAAGTATAATATACTAGCATAAATGGTAAAACTGTTTAAACAACTTGTGGTCTGACACGTACACGACTTTTCTCGGTTTGATTCTGGTCTTTTTTTCTTCATGCCTTAAATAAAGGTTGTGGCCATATTTTTGTCACTTAAAAAAATTGTAAGATTTAAATTTTTCTTAATAAAACCTGAGAGGCAGAGAGACAAAGACAATTCAGATTTTAATTTCTAAAATACTTTTAGAAATGGTAGCTTTTCGGAGAAATTTAAACCAACAGTCGTCCAAACATGTAAGTGAACTAAGAAAGATAACTACGGCTCGGAAAGTCTGACTGAAATTACTGATGAACCTTTTTGCTCCAAACAAAAAAAAAAAATGTTTGATTCAAATCCAGATTTATTAATGTTTACTTTGAGTATATTAATTATGATTTGCTGCAAAACATTGATTTTCCTTTGAAATTAATCGCAATATTAAAATATCGGACAGAAAAAAGTTATGATGTCAGGACACGGTGCTTGTAATATTTCTTAATTGCCTATCTGATACTTTTTTGTTTCAAAATCTTCAAGTTATTAAAGGTCCTTTATTAATCTAAACCACACATTTTTTTTTAATTTATGATAAATTTATTATCCACTTGATGAGACATATTTCAACGCGTATTTAAATTCGTGGCCAACTTTTTGAAATTGATTTGTGTTTTAAACGGTTATGTGTGTATACTAGTACTATCCCCCTTGAAAAGCAGAATAAAATATTACATGATATCCATTTAATTACTTTATGCACATTCAATTCTCCTTCTTACAATAAAGTCCGAATGAAATACATGTACATGTACAACTTTGCATAATAATTTTTAAGAGCCATTCTCTATAAGCACCAAAATTTGATGGAAAGCCATAGTCACCGATTTAAATGAAACTTTGGTAAATTAATACATACTACTAGTCAAGTATACTGGTATATGCAAAATGACGGGATACTGCTGTTTCCATGGAGACCAGCAAGTCATACTTTTGTCACATTTGCTATTATTTCCTTTATAATGTATGTGGCTGAAACTCATAAACGCAGCAACACAATTCAACAAAACTAATCCTGTAAAAAGATTATAGATATATAAGTTAATCTTCAAAAAATTGGAGGTGTGTTATTTAAAATAAAGAAAATAAAGCCTTGTAAATTTGCTGTTTTTCAAGAGAAAAGTGCTTAATTTTATCAAGAGTTATTTCCCTTCGTGTAACTCTTTTGTGTTTCCTGTGAAAAAAGGAATGTTTTTTGCCAGCAGAAGACTTTCAGATTGGTTTGCTGCTTCGTTTTTACTACAAATTCCACTTGTCAGAAGATGTATTTAATTTGAATTCAGTTGATATGAATAATAAGGACATAATACTAATAGAATGTGGTATTTTGCCGTCCAGTTCTGAAAATAGGGAAATTTGTTCCACACATTTTTCTCTGCCGTTGAAATAAAACAGTGACTGAGTGATGTACGAAGAAGAAATTTGGTGTCAATTGCCATTCCTTATTTTTAAAAAATCTGGTGAATCATAATTCATTCCATGAGAAGCAGAAATCCAACAGACTGATCCCAGTCAATGGTGTACTCAAAATACACAGAGGCTAGAGGACTTGTTCTTCCTGGAACCTGTGAGTATTGTACAGTCAGTGTTTACTAGTATGTACATGTATAGTGGAATATTTATCATTTTAAAGTGCACATTCCTGTCTTTGAATAAATGTTCTTATTAGAGTTTAAATAACATGATGTTTAAACAAATGTTAATATAAATTTTGATTTAAAAAATGGGTTAGGGGATGCTTAAATTATTTTAACAAGCATATAGTACTTTTAAAAAAACTATATTAAAACAAGATTTGTATGAATGATATATCTTTTGATTATCTGCTCAAATAAACTTAATTCAACTTTTAGCTCTATGCACCAGCCTGTCTCTTGAAGTTGAATGCTCAAACAATATGAAGAGGATGAAAATCAAAACAGGAAATATGATCAGGTTTGTAATTTATTATTCATTATGCAAGCTATCATTCATAGTTTCATTTGTCATTTAGAAATTTCATAATAATAATAAACAGTTTAAAAGTAAACAGAAAACAAATTGGAATAAAGATTTCTTTAATGAAAAAAAAATTATACAAGACATCATCTAACAATGATTACAGGGTTACTGGTACATACGTGGTCTATTGGAAATACAGTAATCAAAAATAAATTATATAATTTACACCGAATAATTTAATTTATTTGATCAAGTAGCATTATATATGTTATGTGTATTTTACAAAGTTCCAGGATAAACAATGTTGTAACAGTAAACACTATGTTTTTGTCAATATAGTAGAAGGGGTGCTTATTGTGCTTATTTATTTTAGGCTCAGCCACACCTTAATGAACATAAAGAGCTACTTCATTCAAGGCCATGATATGTTCTAACAGCTGATTCAATGAAAGAGGTACTACATATTGTAGATCTCCATTGTAGGAGAAATGCCACACCAGAATTTTAATAGATCTTTTAAGACATCCCTTTTAAACTATTCCTGTATCAGCCTTGAGAGACCTGGGTATTAGCTTTTAATTATTTTATTCAATTTATTGGACATTTATCAGAGAAAATAATTTTAAAAACTTTTATTTGCAAACAAAATGCTTATGGTTTAAAATTTGATGTTTATTAATAAGTGAAAAATATGAAGGTCTATATTGCATGGTTAAAATCTTCATAAAACTATTGTCACAACTAAAATGAACAATTTTAGTAGTCAGTTATTTAAAAAAAAATGAAATTAAATTGCAAAATATTTAAGAAATGTTTTTTTTTATATTTTGACCAATCCTGATCAAAGAACTATATGCGGTATATTGCATATGTTTGCCCCCACAAAAGTCAAATTTTGAAAACTTCCTGAAATGTGCTGAATTCAATAAATTGTACGAGAAATATAAGTTAACAGAAAATATTATAGTTCCAGAGCAGTGTATTCACAATTTCTGTTTTTATGACGTCACAAACTAGTCCGATTTTATATCCTTTTTCAGAAAGAGGACAAAATGGACAAAATTTCAACAATTTAAGCTTTAGAATTTATAGAGCGCATGTGTGTTCAGGAACAATATTGACATATTTCATTGATATTATCATTCTACACATTATATCAAAATATTAATCCTGAACACACATGCGCTCGGTGACTCTTATTTAAAATATCGACGAAATATGTACATTTTTCTGCAAAATTCATAAAAAACTGAAATTTACGTCATATTTGTGACGTCATTACGTACATATGACGTCATTTCTTATGAAAATATTTAGTGCTTTGAAGTCA